AAACTGTAGGGCATTACTTTCTTCCCCCTTTTTAAGCTCAGTGGCAGTGTTTGGAAATCATTTCTGTTACACCTTACTAATACCTTTAGTAAAGATCACACTCAGGTGGTATTACAGCTGCTGGTGCAGATCCACAACCATTGTGAAAATCAAATAATTGAAAAATAAATTTTCTATTTCACTTTTTATCATCTATATTAAATATACATACAAATGGCAGCCAGTTACACAGAATCACAGAATTTCTAGGTTGGAAGAGACCTCAAGATCATCAAGTCCAACCTCTGACCTAACACTAACAGTCCCCACTAAACCATATCCCTAAGCTCTACATCTAAATGTCTTTTAAAGACTTCCAGGGATGGTGACTCCACCACTTCCCTGGGCAGCCTGTTCCAATGTCTAAAGTATGCCTTTCTGTAAAGAAGTTCTTCCTAAGATCCAGCCTAAAACTCCCCTGGCGCAACTTTAGCCCATTCCCCCTCGTCCTGTCACCAGGCACATGGGAGAATAGACCAACCCCCACCTCGCTACAGCCTCCTTTGACGTACCTGTAGAGAGCAATAAGGTCGCCCCTGAGCCTCCTCTTCTCCAGGCTGAACAAGCCCAGCTCCCTCAGCCGCTCCTCATAGGACTTGTTCTCCAGGCCCCTCACCAGCTTCGTCGCCCTTCTCTGTACCCGCTCAAGCACTTCGATGTCCTTCTTGTAGCGAGGAGCCCAAAACTGAACACAGTACTCGAGGTGCGGCCTCACCAGAGCCGAGTACAGGGGGACGATCACCTCCCTAGCCCTGCTGGTCACACTGTTTCTGATACAAGCCAGGATGCCGTTGGCCTTCTTGGCCACCTGAGCACACTGCTGGCTCATATTCAGCCAACTATCCACCAATACTCCCAGGTCCTTCTCCGCCAGGCAGCTCTCCAACCACTCATCTCCCAGCCTGTAGCTCTGCTTGGGGTTATTGCACCCCAGGTGGAAGACCCGGCACTTGGCCTTGTTGAACTTCATGCAGTTGACCTCAGCCCATCAGTGCAGCCTATCCAGATCCTCCTGCAGAGCCCTCCTACCCTCGAGCAGATCGACACACGCACCTAGCTTGGTGTCATCTGCAAACTTACTGAGGGTGCACTCAATGCCCTCGTCCAGATCATTGATGAAGATATTAAAGAGGACCGGCCCCAGCACCGAGCCCTGGGGAACGCCACTAGTGACTGGCCTCCAACTGGACTTGGCTCCATTCACCACGACTCTTTGGGCCCGGCATCCAGCCAGTTTCTAACTCAATGAAGCGTGCGCCAGTCCAAGCCAAGAGCAGCCAGTTTCTTGAGGAGAATGCTGTGGGAGGCGGTGTCAAAAGCCTTGCTGAAGTCAAGGTAGACCACATCCACAGCCTTTCCCTCGTCCACCCAGCACGTCACTTTGTCATAGAAGGAGATTAGGTTCGTCAAGCAGGACCTGCCTTTCATAAACCCATGCTGACTGGGCCTGATCGCCTGCTTGCCCTGCAAGTGCTGTTTGATGACTCTCAAGAGAATCTGCTCCATGAGCTTCCCTGGTACTGAGGTCAAATTGACAGGCCTGTAGTTCCCCTTGTCTGCCCTCCGGCCCTTCTTGTAGATGGGCATCACATTTGCTATCCGCCAGTTGACTGGGACCTCCCCCGATAGCCAGGACTGCTGATAAATGATGGATAGTGGCTTAGCCAGCTCCTCTGCCAGTTCTCTCAGTACCCTTGGGTGGATCCCATCCGGCCCCATCGACTTGTGCACATCCAAGTGTCGTACCAGGTCACCAAACAGTTCTTCGTGGATAGTGAGGGCCACATCCTGCTCCCCATCCCCTTCCACCAGCTCAGGGTACTGGGTATCCAGAGAACAACCGGTATTGCCGCTAAAGACTGAGGCAAAGAAGGCATTAAGCACCTCCACCTTTTCCTCATCTCTTGTAACTAAGTTTCCCCCCGCATCCAGTAAAGGATGGAGATTCTCCTTAGTCCTCCTTTTTGTGTTGATGTATTTATAAAAGCGTTTTTTGTTATCTTTAACGGCAGTAGCCAGATTGAGCTCCAGATGAGCTTTGGCCTTCCTAATTTTGTCCCTGCACAGCCTCGCTACATCCTTATAGTCCTCCCTAGCGGCCTGTCCACTTTTCCAAAGATTATAAACCCTCTTTTTTCTCCTAAGCTCAAGCCACAATTCTCTGTTGAGCCAGGCTGGTCTTCTTCCCCACCAGCTCGCCTTTGGGCACGTAGGGACAGACCGTTCCTGCGCCATTAAGATTTCCCTCTTGAAGAGTGCCCAGCCTTCCTGGACTCCTCTGCCCTTCAGAACCGCCTCCCAAGGGACTCTACCAACCAGTGTCCTCAGCAGCACAAAGTCAGCCCTCCGAAAGTCCAATACAGCGGTTTTACTGGTCCCCTTCCTGGCCTCGCCAAAAATAGTGAACTCCACCATTTCATGGTCACTCTGCCCAAGACAGTTTCTGACCACCACATCCTCCACCAGTCCTTCTCTGTTTGTGAAGAGAAGGTCTAGCGGGGTGCAACCCCTGGTAGGTTCACTAACCAGATGCGTTAGGAAGCTGTCTTCCACACTCTCCAGAAACCTCCTAGATTGCTTTCTCTGGGCTGTGTTGTGCTTCCAGGATGTGTCAGGGAAATTGAAGTCCCCCACGAAAACAAGCGCTGAAGATTTCGCAACTTCTGTCAGCTGCCTGTACAACTCCTCATCCGTCTCCTCATCCTGGTTCGGCGGTCTATAACAGACCCCGACCAGGATGCTAGCCTTGTTGTCCCTGCCGATCCTAACCCAAAGGGACTCAACCTTGTCATTCCCAGCCTCGAGTTCTACAACATCGAAAGACTCTCTAGTATAGAGAGCCACACCACCACACCTTCTGTGCTGCCTGTCCCTTCTAAAGAGCTTATAGCCAGTGATTGCAGCACCCAGTCATGAGACTGGTCCTACCACATCTCTGTGATGGCAACCAAGTCGTAGCCTGCCTGCTGCATGATGGCTTCCAGCTCCTCCTGTTTGTTACCCATGCTGCGTGCATTGGTGTAGATGCACTTCAGCTGGGCCATTGCCTTATCCCCCGGCCTTGCTATTGTTCCCCCTGGCCCAGCTCCAACAATCCTTGCTTCAGCCCCATCCCCCTTCTTACCTAGTTTAAAGCCCTCTCAATGAGCCCTGCCAGCTCCTTGCCCAGGATCCTTTTTCCCCTAAAAGATAGGAACCCGTCTGCGGCCATCAGGCCGGGTGCCGAGTAAAGTGCCCCATGGTTGAAAATCCCAAGATTTCTGCATTGGCACCAGCTCCTGAGCCACGTGTTTAACAGGTGGGCTTTCCATGTCCTCTCTGTACCCCTCCCTGCCACTGTAGGGATGGGTGAAAACACCACCTGCACTCCTGCTCCATCCACTAACCTGTCCCAGCCCCCTAAAGTCTCGTTTGATAGCCTTGAGGCTTCTCTCTTCAATGTTGTCACTACCTGCCTGGACTATCAAAAGAGGATAATAGTCAGAGGTTGAGAAGCTTCCTGGCAACGTCCTTGACCCTGGCCCCAGGGAGACAGCAGACTTCCCTACGGGTAGGGTCAGGCCGACAAATAGGGCCCTCTGTTCCCCTAAGAAGAGAGTCTCCCACAACAATAACCCTTCTGTCTTTCTTGGTGGAGGCAGTCCTGAGGCGTGGAGTTGACCTCCTCGCCCTAGGCATCCTCCTGGGAACACTTGCTACCTCATCCTCACCCACCGGTCTCTCGAGCTCCTGGGCCTCAAACCTGTTGCGTAAGGGCACCTGGGAAGGCGGGGCTGGAAGGGGAGGGCATCGCCTGCGATGTCGAGCAGGGACCTGTTTCCATTCCTCCTCAACTCCCAGATCCCCTCCCTCTGCCCAACTGCGACAGGGCAGGGGGTCCACCCTCATTTGGGGTGTCTCACCTCGATACCTTTCCTTGAGGCCCTGCAGGGAGTAGCTCCACAAGTCTATCTCCCTCTCACACTCCCTGATAGCCCTCAACCTCTCCACCTCCTCCTTGAGCTCCGCCACCATGTGGACCAGGTCATCCACCTGCTTGCACCTCATGCACGCAGTTTCACTGCCTCCCGCCGATGGCAGGAACAGGCTCAGACACTCCTTGCATTTTGTTGGGAATGTAACTACAAAGTATATCTTGATAAAGTAATATTTTGTTTCATCATACAGCTCTGTATAATCTTTTCCACAGACAAGATTGCATAGTTATATAGTTACAAACAAATATTTGAAAAGCTTAAATATCACTACTGACTCTATCAGATATAAATTGTGTAATGTAAAGAGAAGTTCCTTTCTCATATTTCTTATTCTAAAATAGCTTTTGAGGTTTTCTATCATTTGATTATTTAGTTTCAGATTTCCAGTGGTTCCAGCTTTTCCAGTAAGTTCTGTCTCCCTCCCATCATTCAGCTTAGTATGTCAGAATGAAATGACTGTGAGGGGTAAGGGCATGTGAGAGCATCATGAGAGAGGTGTTAAGAAGCTTGCTCTCATTTTGTTTGTATTGTCTTCTTGTAGACTTCCACACTAAAAGAAAACATGAAAGTGGGAATAGAAATGGACCTTTCTTGAACCATTCATAATTTTGTCAAGTAGGCAAAATTCAGACTTCAAAGTCAATTCAAAATTTTATGATGGGTAGATCTGTGAACTGTAAAATTTTTTCACTTACACTGAAGAAACTTTCTCTTCTTCATTTACACTGAATAACACTGTCCAGAAAACTGTTGTTTTCTGGATCAGTTGGTCTCACTGAGGACTTGGCTGTCTCCCTACTTCTAAATTACTATTAACAAGAGTTGTTACATAGTTTTTAAAAGTCCATCAGTATAGATATATTTAATTCTATTTTTCCACTCAATACCAATAGTTTATGTGCAGATTCGCAGTGAACATTTGTCCTTTCTTCAACACCTTTAATAAACTAAATTTCTCCATTCTGTTTCCTTCCATCAATACAGTAGTTTCTCTCCAGTTCCTTCCTTAATTGAAGTTCCGTAATTGAAGGTTTTCTGCTCTTCAGTAGGTCTTCTGTGGATATGCACTGTATTATGTATTTGATAAAGTATCTGAAGACATGGCAGTAGTACAGTGTCATATAGACAGGTGAGTTAAATTTAAACTTGATTACTGCATTTTCAACAGCAGCCTACACAGAACATTTTCAGTTTAATAACATCCGTAAATTATACCCCATTAAAGGGAAGAGGGGAAGCCCTTTCATTGTACTTTGTATTTCAACATCTATCCTGTGACTGGAACCCAAACGATTTAATTTAAAATTTAACAAAGTATCTTCCAGTAGTGCATGAGAGATTCATTTAACTATAATGTTGATTAACCTAAAAAATAATGTTATGAATTCTGTGGTTCTAAATGAAAATTTGTTGTTTGTCTGATGTCTCATATCTGTGCAAATAAAACAATGTTTTACCACTTGCTTCATTCACCATCTCAGTGAGGAATGGAATGTCTGGTTTTCTCTAGTAAGCAAAGATGCTTGAATTTCTGAACATTAACATAGTTTTTGTTCATTTTTTTTTTTCTTAAGCTCAGCTCTTCGCAATGCACATACAAACTTTATCTCTTCTTTTGTGCTTCTAAACATGAGAATGACAAACCATTGATTACAGTATGATAATGAATCACCTAGCTGTATACTCCATTCCTATCACAGAAATCAGTGCACACATCACATGCACACACAAAAACACACACACTAAAAAAATAACAATCCAGAGGCCTTAAAATTTCTAAACTCTAGCTAAGTTTCTACACAGCCTTTATATTAAGTGAGTGGAAAAAGTTTACTACTGTTGAATCTTTTACATTAGAGGAAAGTACTATGTATATTTATCATAATACTGATAATAGAAAAGCTTTTTTTATTCTACTCTTATTGAAAATCTTGTTTCTATTATTTTGTTTGTGTGACAGTTCATAGAGCATATTTTATATTTATCTTTAATCACCTTTAGAGGAAGAAGGTAAGCTACTTCATGTGTTTAAAGTTATTTGAATGTTAAAGAAAGCAAGGAACCATGAGTAGAATAATTTATTATATTCGTATTTACAAAACCCCAGCCTCTTTTTAAAGGATTAATTTTACTACTTTTTCTCTGGGAATGTGTTTACATTATTAAAGAAAAATGTTTACAATTGCTAAACCTAATCACAGAAACCTTTTGCAAATAACACCAAGTAACACTTTCCTGTGACGTTCTGATATTCTTGTAATGTTTTTTGTTTTCTTTTTAAAAATTTTGTATTCAATCTATATTTTTTATTCCTTTTTATTATCTTGCAACATGTTTATTGTTACAAATAGTCTAAACAGCGATAAAATCAACTTGATTTAGATACTTGATTGAACATGGTCTGTTCAAAAATGCCATGATGCCATGATGACTTACTTATTTGTTATTCTTAAAAATAAATAAATAAATAATATATATTATATTTATATATATATAAATACAATCCCAGTATCTTTAGCTGGAATTTCGGAGAGAATAATCATATTTTGCCACAGAGTAAGAGTAAAGTATAAATCTATGTTGTAATACAATCTTAATGATTAATCTTATAATCATTTTTCTGTACTGCTCAAACTACTTTGTTATTGTAGTTTATTCTGGGATACTAGTTCTCCACTAAGCTGTGTGTGGCTTGGCAGTAGGAGATGGAATTACCATGGTATTATAGTAATGGAATTACCATGCCTGTATCATAGTAGGCACGTGTGATAGAAAATAATGAATTCTTGATTTGCTTGAAAAGTTCAGTGCTTCTACTTTCCTACCTGTTTTGGCATTAAATTATGTGAGGGACCTATTCTGTCATTGCAAAACTGAGATTTTACAGGTGTGACTCTAGACAGAAGTGATCCTGGAGTTTTACTCTCTACTGTGCTCATTCTTATGTAGTCATCACAACATCAGTTGCTCCATTTGATCTACAGTATTTCCAGAATCATAAATAGAATAGAAATAGAAATGTGTTAAACATAAATGATAAGAAAATATTTTTGAAAGACTATGTAACTCAAACAGACATGATAGTATTACTTCAGATGGTGTAAAAAAATAGTCCCAAAATTTATAATGAAGGCTTACTGAAAAGTACTTTTTGTTATCCTTTTGTATAAACGTGCAAATACCACCCACTTTTTACTATGTTCTGCAAAGCCATGGTACTGTTAAAGACAGTTCTCCACACATGAAACAATTTTAAATTTAATTTATATTGTTAATATATTAATTCAAAGTATACATTTATTTATGTAGCTATAGTTCTATTGGTTCTATCTGCCGTTTAGAGATAGGAGGTCATTTAGACAGTAAGTCCCGATAATGTTGTCCCATTACCCCTGACCAAATGCAGCAGTACTCTTTCTTCTCCCACACTCTCTGGTTCTTTTCTTCTTACCATAACCAGCTGAAGTTTACCTCAAATTGACGAGCTGGCAACTGTTCCATGCTGCAGTATTATCAGTATTAAGCAGTATTAGGTTTACTGTTGATCTATAGTCTAATATTTTTCTCTTTGTGCAAAAGGTAATGGTTTGAAAGATGAGGGCAATATATAACTTGTCTCTTTCCACATATCTGCCACTACGAAATGAGACTTTGAACTGGTTTTGGCTACAATGGAGTTAACTTTCTTCATTTGGTGTTGTGCTTTGTATTTGAGGTTAAAACTGTGTAGGTAATACAGCAGTGCCTGTATATTGCTGAGCAGTGCTTGTATAACATTAAAACTTTCTCTCTCCACTCCATGCTCCACCAAAATCAGTATGTAGCAGGTGGGCAAGAATCTGGGAGGAGACGTAGCTGAGACAGCTGACCCAAAGCGATTAAAGGAATATTGTATACCATATGATGTCACGCTCAAACATAAAAAGCACAGAGAAAGTAAAATGGGGGGGGAGAAAAGGGAAGAGGGGGGAGGGGAGGTTTATAGTTATGGCATTTGTTTTCCCAAGCAACAGTTACACTAAGGTCCTGAATGCCAGGAAAAAGTTGAATATCTGCCTGCTGATGGGAAGCACCAAATTAATTCCTCTTTTTGCTTTGTTTGTGTGCACAAGGTTTGCTTTCTTTATTAAGTTGTCATTATCTTGATTCATGAGTCTTGCTTTCCTTCTATTTTGTCCCCATCCTGCCAGGGGTGGGAATGAGCAAGAGGCAAAAATGGTTGTCTGGCTGCTGGATAAGATGAACACAATACAGACTTCAAAAGGACAAAGTGAAAGTGTATATATATAGATACATATATACATTATAGATTATAGTAATATTAATTTATTATATATTATAGATCCATTTATACATTTCTTTATATATATTAATGAATTAGTGTTCTGTTTATTAGACAGCTTTTGCAGTGGGTCCCATTGATATAGCCTGAAGCAAAACATACAGCAAATTGAAATGAATAGAAATGAGAACTTTTTTTTTTCAGAAAAAAAATTTATACATTTACAAACCTCTCTTCTCTGCATGAAAAATCCAAGACCTGAAATCAATTTTTTCACACTGTGGTTATGAGGCTTAGATCAACATATTTTAAGCAGCTACTGCAGATTTCCATGTCTTTTTGGAAATAGAAATCCAATGGAAGTTTCCTATGGGGGATATCTTAAAATCTGAACTAAGAGATTAACAAATTAAACAAGTTATAAAAGATTCAAACTGTCAGATCACATACATTAACACATCAACAATACTCTGAGTGCATATATATATATATATATAACAAAATATTTATGCATGTATACATGCATTTACTGTACTACCAAAATGTCTCTATTGCATTTGTTCTTTTGGGTTAATAAAAAGGAAATTTGGAGGAGAGGTGAAACCTGTGTGACATATCTGTCAAAATATTCATGACTAACAAAACTCTTACTACTTTTAACAGCAGATGGTATTTCATGAACATGTTTTGATGTCAGCATGATTATCACTTTGCCATTCCTAGTTTGTAAGTACTCTCCTTGTTTAATTTGACAGCATTTATTCTCCTTCTATACATTTTTGAATGTGTATTTCTTCAGAAAAGCTAGCATTTTCTTTCCAAGTGTACTTTTGCACCAGTAAGTAAATCATCATTGACCTTTTCTAGATTGCCTGCAGTGTCCCTTATATGACATGATTAACACCATGCAATTTATTGATCATCCTTTATTTCATTGTAACATTTAAGTACTGTATAATAATTAAAGTGCAGATTATTCTGTCATTTTTCTTCCATGCAATTACTCCTTGTGTATGTCTGGTTTTTTTATTATGTTTTAGAATTAAGAAGTCATTAATGAAAGAAGCAAGAGAAATAAATACAAAAATGTTTACATTTGATCTGGCAATCCATAAAACATTTCCTATTTATGAGTTGTTGAAAGTCTAGGACAGAAAATAACTCTGAAGTTTTCACAGTGTTTTAGTTTTGGATATCATACCTAAAGGTTGCACCATTACGAAAAGTACAAAATTGGAATGAATAGGTATTTTTTAAAAGAAAATGTCTCCTTAGTTAGATGCACAGAGATCAGGATTAGAATTTTGAATTTAATCAAGATAAGGCTGACAAATGATAATTAATGTAATAGCATGCATTAAAAAGAAAAGGCAGGCAAACATTTTTGAGCTTAGGCAAACATATTTATGAGCATTATTTGACAAAATGGCTCAGCACAACTTAAAGCAGTATGAGAGGAGTTCTGAAATTGCACCTACCTACTTATCCATTTGTATTATTGACAGAACATAGATTTGTAGTATGCAGAGTTGACAATTTCCAACCGGATGTTGAAGCACTGATCTACATGACAGGAACTGTGATCATTAGTTGCCATGCTTGAAAAGGATGTGGACAGATTCAATGTGGTTAGGTGCAATCAGTCCTGAAATTAATGCATAAATGGAAGAGACACTTTTTCATTATTGCCTACTTTGGGGGAAACAGTGGGTGCAGTACTGTCAGAGTTCAGACTGATAGATATTGATACAAATCATTTTTATATGATCTGCCTATTTATTAAAATTGCTTTTCTGCTCTCTATATGGAAGTCCATGATGCATTACATTCTGAACTTCCCAATGCTCAGATTGCTGTTCTCATTGCAAGAAATAATGAAATGGATTCATTACTTTATTCTTAAAATATTCTGATTTATTTTAGGATATAATCTCTTCAATGATTTCATATACCCTTTTGTTGTCCAGTTCATTTATTTTACTGTGGGAAGGAATGCATTATACATGTTCTGAAGAGATAAAATTCAAAAATATTTTAAGAACTTTGTAAGTACACAAACAGAAAGAGGGAAAAAGACATGAGATGATGTAAAGCACAAAGATGTTTTAGGATTTAGGTGAAACTCAAGATTGTTAATGTTATGACAGTATGATTATGAGCAACTGTTTCTCTATAAAACAGAAGATTATTTTTTTTTAACGTAAAATTTTAGATATTCTTTCAAAATTATATTTTGGAAAGCTGGTCTTGTCACTTACACTGTATCCAGAAGTGTAAAGTTGAATCAAACAATAATCTATTGGAATCTCAAATTTTGAATGGAGGGGAGATGGGGGGGCAGGGAGGTCCTCCTTTACGTATTTATGTTTCAAATTCAGCAGTCAAAACAGTGAAAACCTGAGTGCTGAAAGCAATGACTGTGAGTTCTCTGTACAGAGGGGTATTAAAAGGAAATCAACACTATTACAGTGATATAAACAACCTTATTAATTAGATTAGATTTATTAGTCTAGGGCTGTAGTGTTACTTCTGGGTGTTAGACCAGAATCTCTTTAGAGAGCTATGTTTGTGGAGGAAAAGAAGAAAATATATCCTTCTTTGTTGCTTTTTAAAACAAATCAAACTATTTTGAAGCAGAATATAGGATTAAAAAAGTAGAAGCAGCAGCAGGAATATAAAACATTGATAAGATATGATAATAAATAATAATGATAATAAAAATAACTATAATAAATGTATCATTAACATAAACCCATGTACCTGACAATCTTTTTCTTAAGTATATTCAGCTGGGTTTGGATGTTTATAAGAGCTCATAAGAATTTTGCCTTCACCTCCACAACACACTTTATTTTTCAGAGAGACATGTGATTGTACTTTTTTTTTTTTCTTTTTAAGCTTTATTTCAAACCTACAACATTTGGGTTATGGCTCCTTATCTCTCTTGTTTCTAATAAATTCTTCTTCAGCCAAGCCATCTTACATGTTCAGAGTATTCACTGTTTACCTTTTTTTTTTGTTTGTTTGCTTGAGGTATGTTCTGTGACAGGTGAGATGTTCTCTGTACTAACTTAATGAAATGCATATTTGACATATGAATAAATCCTCAAAATAACAATTGTGAGTGCTAGTGTTTTTTTCTGTAGTATGCTTTGAACTAATTAATTTTGATAATCTGCCATTTTCCTGGTGAAATTTGATATTGGAATCCACAAGCTCTGTATTTTTAGCACGGCTTGAAGAAAAGAGACGGTTCAGATTCCTATAGACAATACAGATTTTTTGATGCACTACAGTGCCTGAGGTTAATGAGAACTGATTCTCAGCTGTCAGGTGTAAGAATATACAAAGACAGACATACTACTTCCAGATCCAAGACTAACTTATTTAACTCTAGCTTGATTATCTCTAATGTTTTAAGTTGTTTATGGACTAACATTAAAGTTTGGGAAGTTTTGTGCTAAAGAATACTTCTGGGACAGATAATGTTGGACTACATAGACCCAGCTAGCCTCTGTATGGGTAACAGTCATGGGGCAAGTACTTTTCATGATCCACTTGACCTCTGGTCAGGTTCCTACTTCCTACATATGTCATCAGTAGCTTTTAATGTTGTACTATCTCCTATTTCCTCTACTATACTGGGTAGCCTCAGATGTAAAACTGAAGAAATACTGTGTCAGAGATGTCAGAAGTGCCTACAATAAAAGTAGATGCTTCACTTCACTTGTGTGTTCACCCTCAGATTACCGACAAGTATTTTAACTGCATGACCTGGAATGCCATTCACATTTAATGGGAATAATACAATCCAATAATGAAGGCAATTTAAGAATACTCCATTTCTTTAGCATATTTCTTTAGCTTATGTCTTATGACAGGAAAGCCTCTACTTGTTTGACAGAGTGTTGAACACTCATGAACAGAAGAACCAAACAGCCATATGCTGGGCCAAGAATGAATTAAAACAATATAAGTAAAGTGAGAAAAATAAAGTTAATAAGGAAACCAATCAAGGAAACATAAGATTTCTCATAGTCTTACTTGAAAGAATCATTGGTTCTGCCTTTGATCTTTTTCCAAAGCTGAGTAGCAAGAGGTCATGTTATTCCAACACCTAGTTTCGTAGAAGAGAAGGTTAATGTACACTGCTAGTCTAAGTGACAATGAGATCTATTCCAAATGACATTACATTTGCCATAAAGATCAGCACTGAGAAAATACAGTTGAAAATTATTTTGGTGTGATTTAAAACAATCTTCTCATTAACATCTTTTGAGGGACAACATGGATGCCAACAGTGAACTTAGTCAGATTTTCCATTTCCAGGCTACTAGAACTTGCAGAATAATATTTCTCTTAAGATAGATCTTCTTCTCCCACATAGTAAGTATGAATATTCTGAAAAGCTATGTAAGACTCGACTAGGGCTAAAGGAGAAAGCTTTCACAAGAACTCTAGATATGGAAAATTAATTAAGGAATTTTATTTACATGTAAGAGGTTTGAAAAATCATGGAGAAGTATGGGGAGATTATGTCTAACAGCCATTGCATATGGAGAAGATGATTGTTAAATTTACATGGAAAAAAAAAATAATTGATAAACTGGAAATTAAAACAAAGTTATTAAAGCTAGGCATCTTTATTGCCTTACTGCCTCCTCTAAATCTCTCACCACTTATTCCAGTACACTCCACTCTGGAAAATGTCATAGACTCATAAAATTGGTGGAAAGGTAGGATGGGGGGGGCGGAGGGACGACACATGACACCTGTTTAAAGAGACCTCCAGAAATCTTGTAGTTCAACAAGACAGTAAATTACTTAAGACTGTATTCAGATGAGTTTTGAATACCTCCAAGGAAGGAGATTCCACAGTCTATATAGGAAACACGTTCATGTATCTGACCAACTTCACAGACAAGAAAAAATTCCTTACTTCTACTGTAAACTTACCATTATACAAATTGTGTCTGTTTCCTATTGTCCTAATGTTTTGCACTCTAAAGAAGACTTTTTGTCTCCATCTTCTCCATACCATCCAACTAGGAGAAAAGCATCCTGGTCAATCTCTGGTAAACCTTATCCTCCTAAGACTGAATAATGCCACTTATCTCAGCTTATCCTCTCCTGTAATGTACACCTAATTATTTGATTGCCTTACACTGGACATACTCTGGTATGTCAATATTTTATTTCTGTTACTGGAAAGCACACCATGCTCCAATTTCATAAGTGTGAAAAACTAGTGGAAGTACTATTTGCCTTTACGTGCTGTCAGCACTCTTGTTAATCCAGCCCAGGATGTTGGTCTTTGCTGCAAGGGCACATGCTCAAAATCTTGTCACCAGGATGCTCAGAAAATTTTCTGCAAAATTGTTTTTTATCCTATTGAGATTAATCCTGTCCAGGTGCAGCATTTTTCAGGTTCATGTCAGCCCATTTCTCCAGGATGTCAAGATCCTCCTAAATAGCAGCCCTACTATCCAACTTAGTGAATAATGCAGAATTTGTACTAGGAAGTTTAAATGTAAAGAGAAGATTTTTCTGCAGTCCATATTTTCCCTGTTAATTTTACAAAGAGGTCTGATACTTTCTGTTAATTTCCACCACTTTCACCACCCTGAAAGTGGATCAATAAACAAAGTTTTTATATCTCTCCTGACTTAAGATGGGTGCTTTAAACATAGGACTTGTTTTGGCTAGTAGGCCAAAGACCTGCATGCTTCACCAGGAACTCTTTGCTATTCCTGTGCATGAAGAAGCAGCCATAAGTGATGGTCCTTTCTTTGTCTTTCCACATGATTTTTTCTGCCTCAATATAGAGTCCCTTTAGGATATCTTTAACCACTCGCAAGGCTTTAGTTCCTGTGCTTCATATTTTGGTGTAGAAGAGCTGCAAAATCTTGTCTCATTTTTTGTCTGGGAAAAAAAAATAAATAATAAAAAAATGGTCAGTGCAGCATAAGAAAGTAGACATGCTAAAGTTATTTGAAATAAAAATGTTGGGGAACAAAATAGTTTAATAGTTGAGACAGCACCTATTGGCAGCTCAAGGACTTAAGAAGAAAAATAACGACCTAAAAGGATACAAAAAAATAGAAAATGCCCTCAAAGAACAGGATGATGGTGATCAATGCATTCTTAGCAGCAATGGAGTTCAACTTCTTCGCACTTGAGAGATGACAACCTGATCACAGAGATTCATTTGTTGTCTTATTGGCCTTTGTGACCAAGTTAAAACTTGTTCTAGAAGATATTAGTTCCAGGCACTTATTTTCCTTGTATTATCCAATAGAAATTTGTACTGTGCTTTTAAGTTTTGTTTGTCTTGCTGTGTCTGGTGTAAGATATCCAAGGAAAAGAAATCCAGAGAGGGAGGATTACAGAATCAGCATTACAAGAAGATTGTTGCAGACTGCCTAACTGTTCAGTCTGAAAATCTTGATATGCTTTACAGAGGTAACATGAAAATATATGCTGTATGCCTATTCCTACACCAAGAAATTCCCCTAGGCAAGTAGTTTCAACTACTCAGCTTGAGTAGCTTTCCTTTCTCAGCTTGGTTTTGTTTTCTTTAACAAGAGCTTATGGCAGTTGGGAACCCTAGACAATGCCTTGCTTGCTACATGTCAAGGACGGAAAGCAACTCTCACCTGTCTGGTGAATGAGATGGAAGATACAAGGTGTAGGTGTAAAACCATGTTCTGCAACTTTTAATGTTTTCATTTTGACTGAATGAAAAAAGAAAAACAAGAAACAATGGAAATGGCTGTCATTTACTAAGATATCTTTGTTCTTGAGCAGAACACCTCCCAGCATAAGAAAGACATGAACCTGTTAGAAGAGGTACAGAGGAGGACCAAAAAAATGATCAGAGGGTTGGATAACCTCTTTTATAAAGACAGGCTGAAGGATTTGGGGTTGTCCAGCTTGGAGAAGGGAAGGCTCAAAGGAGACATTATAGCAGCCTCCCAATATTAAAAGGGGCCTACAAAGATGAGGATGGGGATATCAGGGAGTGTAGGAAAGGGGTATTGGTTTTAGACTAAAAGAGGGTAGATTTAGATTAGATATCCAGAAGAAATTCCTTTCTATGAGGCTGATGAGTCACTTGAACAAGATACCTAGAGAAGTTGTGGATTCCCCAACCCTGAAAGGATTGAAGGCCAGGCTGGATGGGGCTTTGAACAAACTGGTCCAGCAGAAGGTGTCCCTGCCCATGGCAGAGGGGTAGGAATCAGGTGGTCTTTGAGATCCCTTCCAACGCAAGTCATTCTATGATTCTGTGATTCTATCATTCATCATTCTTTCTTCTGTTGCAGATAGGAACAATCTTGTAATCCTCCTTATTCCTGTTCCATAGGGGGAAAAAAACTCAAGTAGTCCTCTGACATCCAACAGTTTTCTCTACAAGCCTGTTCTCCTTCTGGTCCACTTCCTTTACAATTAAGAAATCAGAACTGCACAAAACTAATTTTAAACACTGTAAGGAAATATTTGAGCCACATTATTTATATAAATTATTTTTTTCTTGATTTATGTAACATATGTGCCTAAAGTGGATGATTTGTTTTACTGAGATCACTGTAAGGAAGAAAAAAAATTAAAAACTTAAAATTAAACATTAATAATTCATACTTTTTTAAAAAACATTTGTATCAGTTAAATAAAATAGAAACATAGCCACATAAAAATCCATATAGTTTTAAGCTGATTAGATCAATAAAGTATGATCTCATGAAGGATTTTATTATTATTCTTCCTTTCTGTGCTAACTGCCTTCAGAAAAACGTTTCTGTATCTACTTTGTATTGTATACAGTAAAACTATGAACTGGATTTAATGTAAAATCATTCAAAATATTATGCTAGTTCAAACTAACTTCTTTGCTAAGCTTTAGCATTATAGTTATTCAACTGATAAAAAAAAAAGTAAACCCAAATATTGTCCATTGTCTCCAGATAGCTTAACTTAGATAAAATATTGTCATCAGACTTCATAGTGAAATACAAGGTTTCAACTTATTTTTCAAAATCAACTGATTTCATTCAAAAGTGTTTCTAGAACACACAGTTGCAGAGAC